GAAAAATTACATTCGAGAAGGTTAAAACATGTTAAAATAAATAAATAAATATAGAGCAATTTTCAGTGAAAACTTTTTGTTCATTACTTTAAGTCACAAAACATTAATTTACAGTGCTCAACAATCGTCTGTATTTTTAATCAGCAATATATATAAAATATATTGTACAATACAATCTCCTTGGAATTAATCTTTTACGGAAGACCAGAAACAAACTCAGAAAATCGATCTTCGATATTATAATGTGAGCAAATGCTAAACTATAATTTTATAAATTGACATATTTTAAAACATACACATGAGTCTCGCCGAGAAAAAGTTGATGATGGACGGTAATCTTCATCATCATCATAACTTTCTTCACTTTCACTTTTCTCTCGTTTCCTTCTTGCTTGCCGATCATCAACAATCACTGCTTCTTTAACAGCTACCTTTCTATCTTCGAGATATGTAGTCCAAGGAGAACGATTAAAACTAAAAAAACCAAATTATGAAGTTAAAAAAAAAGAGGCAAAAATAAGCAATACCTTTTATGTAAATGTATTGCAGGACGGGTCGATTTACGGCGGCAGTAAGTTTCAGCTCTTCTTTCCACAGGGATTTCTACAAAAATTATAACAGCAATGTGAACGATAATTAATATGCTGCAACGGAATGCAGCTTTCTTGAAGTACACAGAAAATATGTTAATAAATTTTCCTAAGGTAACATGCTACAAAACTGAACATTTTTTGTTCTACACCTATAAGAACCACGAAATATTTTATGCCCCTGATATATTAGGACCTTGAAATCACCAGCAGAAACATATTAGTTCAAGGAAACCCCTTCTAGAATGCTAAATTTCAGAAAACCTGAAATAGAAGAAAGCTGAGGATTAACTCGATCATCTACAGTTGCATACGCTTGTAAACGTCCCACAGTGTCCAACGTAGTCGATATCTCATTCCTCATGCAATTTTTTCCTTCTGCTTCATCAAGCCTTTAATTAAAATGCAAAAATTTAAATTTAAATTAAACATATGTATTTCAGAGAATAACGACATACCATAAAATTACATTCTAAAAGTTAGAGACAAACCTTCTTCTTTTGAGAATTCGCCTTCTGCTACCATCGAATGGCATACATCTAGCACAACCATCATTTACAGACCATGTATGTAGCGATTTTTTTTGGTTCTTAATATGATCCAGCTAAAAAACTGCTTCTTATCGCTTCAGATTTTTAAGAACTTATTCCAAAACTAAAGTTTTTTTTTTCTACACATTGAAATCAGTGAGCACCAGCAAATTACTTCCACAGAATAGATCGCTAAAATGTCGGTCAGCTTTACATAAGCATTACAAAGAAAATATAAGATACACTTGTATGTTATCAACAAATTATTATCACGTACTGAAAGATGATTAACCTTACTGATCAGTGAACGATCACACAAATGAAACAAAGCGCAACAGTGCATTAACTGATAATTAAAAATAGACCTGACGGTAGATAGTAATCATTTTTTCCTCGCAATCTTCTTCCATGCAAAGAGCTGTTGCATCTAAAGCACCTAATCGGACCCGCTCACTGTAATACGCATCAGATGATACATTCCTGAAAAAGTTATGAATAATTTCAAGACAAATCTAAACAGAGTAAGCAAAAAGGGAGATAAGTACTTGTGTGGAAGGTAGGCACTTGAAGTTGAAGGTAGCTGTCCTTCAGTTTCTTCATCGCTATTCTCGGATTCAGTAGCATCTGCATCTAAGATATATTTGATCAACTGTCGCTCTGATTTTTCAGCTCTTCTAAAGCATTGGATGAATAATAGATAATTAACAACCAAACGTAATAAAATGGAACACATTAAATTCCTTACAAATTTTTAGTATCAACTAGAATGAAAAATTACTTTAAAATGCGAATAGCATGCAGACAATATTTTTCTACACTCAGTAATATTCTCTTATATACTTATAGTTAAAGAAAATTTGTGGAAATATATTATTGAAATAATCGAGAAAGATACGTATTTTTAGCGACTTGTGGCTTCGCGACACTCATAGTTGTACTATCACTGAACACATGACTTGATATATCTTTTGATATGAAATTTTCAGTAGCCAAATGAGTTTTGAAGCGTTGCAGTAAATTAACCAACTGACTTAGATGAGCACGTTCAAGCTGAAGTTGTTGGTTACACTTTTTGTACATCCATATATTATTAAAGCAGAATAGAAAACTATAAAAGAATTCGCATGTTTTTGAGAATAGTGCAAATATAAGAAATGACAAACATACATGTGGTACGCTTAAAGCGAGCCCATTTTTGTCCCGCAATTTCCCAATTTTTTCTTGCAGAACTTTTCTGCATAAGCTATCTTTGTTTTCACCGATCATACTACAAATAAAAATTATTTCTAACCACCAAATTAATCAGGATATATTTTTAAAACAAATCTATAACCACTTCATTTTTGACACAATTTTTGGATGCCTTTTATATTAAATTAAAATACTCCTGTCTTGACAGAAGTATTAATCGTGATCAATCCACTGGCAATAATTATGGAAAAAAAAGGCCGGCATTTTCAGGTCACGATAGTAGAAAGTAGGTAAGTGCTATGATGAACCAAGCATGAAAACTTTGTACTAGCAAAATTCAAACTTGCAGTTCTAGAATCTACTTACTTTGAGCCGACTTTCTTTGAATAGTTTCGTTTAGGTACATTTTTCGGTTCATTAACATTATCTTGCACTGGTTTACGCAAAAGATCAAGAGCTCTATTCAGCACTTGCTCATTAGGTACTTGCAGTTGATCTTCTACTGCTCTACTTGATAACGACGAAACATTCAAATTTGAGGAAGACAACTGTTCTTCCTAAAATTGAGATACAAAATATGACCAAACCCACAATTAAAAAAAAAAGAAACTACTCTTTAATTCCTTTTCGAAACTTCACGAACCTCAATTTTCCTTTTCTTCTGCTGTAATTCCTTCAAATCTACAGAAAATTTACGTTCTGGCGCTATGATCATTCTTCTAGCATTAGTTTCTGATACAGTTTTGCATGATCCAGGAACCTCCGATCGCTTATTAATTTGAAATGACGGTGGAACCGCTGAAACCAAAATAGACCCATAATGATTAGGTGACAATGGAGCAGTGCCAATAATTTCTCGTCGACGTTCGCTACGAATATCAGTTTCAGAAACTTCTTGTTTGTGAATATCTGGAGATATCTCTTGACACAAAGCTGTCTTTCCCATGTATTCAGTACTGTTCTCATAAGGCACACGAACAGAAAGCTGATACTCTTTATCCTGTAAGCATATGCATCTATGAGAGCCATTCAAGTATTCAACTTTTTCCCATTCTTTCCACGGATTTCTATACTCTTTTCAAAATACTAGGCAAGACAGGACTAGATCCCGATTTAGTCAGATCTGTAAGCTCAACAAGAAAAACTAGAATAGTAACTCGATTTCAAGACAATAATATCGAAATCCGTTTTCTTTAATTCTTACTAAACCACTTAAAAATCGGATCACATTAAGTTGTTACTTATATAAAATGAGTAACTAATTCTTCACATTCTTCACAAAACAAATTTCTTAAAGTTTAGCTTATCAATTTTCATTCATAGTAAGCAGATTTAATAGTAAGCAGATATTATAATCTAGTCATGTATTGAGAGCATATAACGTTGTTGTCAGACACATATCAAAGTGTGCAAATGATAATTTAATGTGAAATTGACTTTTATGAAAAATACCTCATCAGGTTCTGCAATCCTGCGTAGGTCATTTTCAATTTTCCGGTCAGAGTTTCCTAGATTATTTAAATTAAGATTACATTTTCCATTTGTCGAATCAGACATAGAATTCTTCTCTTTATTATCAATATTTTTCGATAATAAATCTTCTTTTGAGGTAGAAGGTTCAGGATCATGAGGGCATACACTGGAATCACAAGGACGTTCTATCAATAACTGTTGTGCAGCCAAAGATGGGCTCATCCCATTTGTTGTACGAACCTAAAAAAACACTAAATTTAAGATATCCATTATTAGAATGCCTTTGCAATACTAATGACTTGATTCTAAAAACGCCAAATAGGAAAGTTAACATACTTTTAGTTATAACACTTAATTTCTATTAGAGTGAACAAAAAGATAATACAAACGTGTATACGATAAAAATAGTATGCGGTAAATCTACTAACTAACACATCAAAATAAAAAAGCTGGAATTATCATTTGTCAACGAATGAACTGTCAAATTTTTATAGAAAGTATAGCAAAAAGTCATTTTTAGTTGTTTTTTCTGCGGTTTTTATTTTTTCATGAGTTTTCATTTGTTCGTTTGATGGTTAAAGCTACTGAAAAAAATTTTTTTTTTAAAGTTTAATTGTTTTATGAGTTATAATTTATCAAAATTCCTTTTGTGAATAATTAGTCTTTAACTGTTTCTAAATTCTTTTTAATAGTTACTTTCTTGAAAATTCTTTGTTGTTTTTACCCAACAGACCTTATTTCCTTCTAACTGATGGACTGAAAATACAAAAGGATCTGAAGGCACATCTTCTTGAGTGTCAGCAAGTTGCATCACATCGGTATTTGCATTTTGAGAAATAGCATTATCTTTGACTTCTGGAGAAGACATGCTGCGATTTAAGAGCAGTGAAGCCGTGATGTGATCGCTACCCACGTCGGTATCCTCATTATCACAGTCATGTTTCATACCATGCATCTGAAAATTTGATTCAGATAAACTTGATACAAAAAGCGTGTCTCAACTAGAAATTGACGAAGAAAAAATCAATTTCGTCCTGAAATGTCAATCCAAACAAAGCTATGAAAAATGAAGCAAAGGTTAAAGCTACTGAAAAATTAAAAAAAAAAAACCATATATTTAATAGTTTAAATATATAAGAAAAGGATGAAAAACATTATAATGACCTGTCCACTATCCATCGGTTCTGCTGATGTATTAATAATTGTCCTGAGCCCCATTGGATTTTTGCTTCTATCCTCCACCGTCTCGTCATAACACCTACGCGTGTCTTCAACAGCTTTCTAAATTAATTATACATTCCTTAAACTCAAACTATGTGATAATACCACATCTCACACGCGTTTCGAATAAATCCAGCAAAATTGAAAATAAGTTCTTTTCTTTTTTCAAATTAAAGTGCAGCAAAATAATAACATGGTATAATTACACAAATCTAGAAGCGGCAATTTAGTTTCAATATAAATTAAAAATAATTGTTCTCATCACGTTAGTAACATAATTCAAAAGTAGTTAATCATACAAGTCAACGTAATTATACAAGTATATGCACTCAATGCGCTGCTACATATATGAAAATTAAGAGATATCACAAGGTTGAGTGAAAAAATTTGGCATAATTGGTATCGAATTAAAAATCATTTACTTTTCTTGTCAACTAAATCTATAATCTCAGTTTCAATACAAATTAAACATCGCACCATATGAAACTTCAACTCAAATATCTCTGAGTCATTCTAGCTATTCCATATTTTTTCTTAGCAAAGGAGAGAGACGCGAAAATCATCTACTGTTGTACAATACAGAACACATTTTTATGTTCAATGTACTAAATCTATTACAACTTTTAACCGTTACATATTACCAACTACGTTAAATCAATACTTCTGCATACTCTAACCAACAATAATTTAATCAGTATACCTCATTCATTTTATTTGTTTTGTATATCATTCAACTATGGATCCACAGTTCCTAATTTATAACAGCAAGGATGCAAAAACTAATATTCTTTTTAGCCCACAGCGATTAGTCATCGTCGTTCTGCACAACAATGAAGAAACCAAAATTTGAATATTCAACAAGCGATTCATAACGATACAAAAAAAGCATCATGTTAACCACAGCAATTAACGATATATAGTACGACCTAAACTATAACCAAGAATTATTTTCATAATTAAATTATGTAAATATGATTGTTATATCGATGATTACGAATGCGCCATACAATGTAAAACTTTCAGTGTTGGGAAACCTAATTATTTCTGTTCGCGCCAGAACACGGGAAAAAAATGACAGAATAAAGTAGCAACGAAAAATACAGGATAATGTACATACTCCAAATGCATAATAAAGAAGCAAAATAAAATATACTTTTTACATGATATGATTTCCATGTAGAAAATTATAACTCTCGCCAAAACGGAAATTTCAAAATAAAAATAACAAAAAATCAGTGATTAAGAGTGCCTGTGCTGGCTCTGTAATGTAATGAAGAAATTAGCTACGTGAGATGCTTATTTCAAAATTTCCTCAAATATCAATACGATAAGAATGAGAGGGAGAAAGAGAAGTGCTGACAAGACTTGTAAGCAAAGCGGCCTGAATAAAATGTAAATTAATGATATATATTGCGCGGTAGCGAAAGAACAACAGAACTCTCAGAACCACCGTGAAGCAGCGGGGAAATGTTCTGGCGGGCCGCATTTTGCTTCTGGTTGAAATCGCTCGCTTGCCACAACACAAAAAGCAAGACAGAGATAGGAGTAATGCCACACCACCACTCCTATCTCGTCTACTAGTGCCAATGGCGGTGACGCGTCGCAATGCCATGTGTGCACACAATGGCACTCGTCAGAGAACATGCAAAAAAGGGAGGTTCAGAAAGCAAAAGAATGTGTTGCGAAACAGCCAGGCAGAGATCACGAGGAACAATGCGTAAAGCAGAGAGCGCAGAGAATGAAGACTAGTATAAACACACTGCGTCAGTGCAGTACCTCGGATGTCCAACCACTAACTACTAAGCTTGATTTTTGAATTAATTCAGGGCATGCATTGGTCTTACAACGATACTTGGTACTGTAATTTAAAAATTTTTCCTTCTAGTATTTATTTGTAATTGTGTTTCCCGGGATTTCTCGGTAATAAAGCATAACGCTGAGGCAATTTTACAATTATCTAGATTAACTTATTTTTACTTTACCAACCGAGTAATGGCAAATACTATTGTATCCAACACGAGTCAACGTTACGGTGATTTCCTTGTGGATGGCGTGAAGGCGATATCGCTTACTTTTGGTTTGTTATATTTTAACATTTTTGTTGACTGCATTTATTGCATGCAAAAACCAATATTGATATTTCAGTATCAGATATATCTGAAATGTCACTTGTCACGAAATATCAGCCTGAGTTTGTATATCGACATTTTGGAGATAAGTAAGTTGCTTATTTCGTAGTGTGTAATTATTTCATTTATTCTATACTTCTAAACAATAGTATTAATCTACATGATTTTTTTTATTTGTTTTATTAATTTCTTTCATCACTAATTTAATGGTATATGAAACATTTAAGCGAGACGATATTTGGCTACAAAGACTTGAGTGTAACTTTATATCATACCGACGCATCAATGTATTTTTATCCCAAAATCAGTTATACAGAAGAAATATCCTCCGTTGACAATCAGTTTAAGGTCACTTTCTTAGTGAAATTTTAACTCATTTCTAACTTTATCCTCTCATGTTTAGTGCGCTGTTCATTTATGCTTTTTTACAGCCTGACAATATACTGGAAAAATTAAGCACACAACTTCCAGTTGAGCAGGTGAATGTCTTGTGCCAGACAGGTGCTATTTTCAAATCTCGACTCGACGATCAAAAAAATTTCGAACCTTTTGGAGTGCTGTTGTCTAAACTCACTTTCGGTAAACTTATTTATATTTTAAAAATTAGTTGGTGCCCGTTATTCAATTACACCCGTTGCCTTCCGCTTGTAAAGTTTAAACTAGTAATTTAGATTCGTAGATTAATTCAGTATAACTATTTTCTAGACTAAGTTAGATGTTAACTGTCTTTTGATCAGAAAATTTTTGAATTTATTTCTGATTTATTGGTAAATGTGAAATATTGTGTTTACTGTGCGCTAAATTTTGGCAGTTTAGGTGGTGCGGAGTTCCAGATGTGGATGGTAAACAAAAGTACAGAAGCATTCGATGCGTATCTAGCTCGTGTTCAGACCCTCGCTTTCTGGTATATAGAAGGAGTTGAACATACAGACAATAGTGATCCCTGTTGGCAACATTATTTTCTGTATGTTTTATTTCATCTTATTACTCATTAAGTTTGTTGACCTATTATTGTTTGTTCTCTGTAGTTCTTTTCATTATTTGTAAAGCAGTGTGCGGTTGTTATTTCTATGCATATATTAGTTGCATCGATAATGATAAGCTTGTTTGAAAGATTCCTTTGGAGGAGGGGTTATAGTTTTTTATTTGCTACTATTTGCATTCAAAACAATTAAAACTTGTTTATTGCTTACATGTTTTTTTTAAGTTATGAGTCTAAGCAGGGATTTGATGGAAGATTGCATTTATCACTTGCGGGATACGCATCTACTGTCAGATTTTACCATTATCCGGACAAAATCCGTTGTAGAATAGCTCAAATATTGATACTGCCGCAATACAGTGGTAGAGGCGTTGGCGCTAGATTTTTAAAAGAGATATACAGTGATTTAGTTCATGATCCAGCTGTTATTGACATTACAGGTTTGTGTCAGAAAATGAAGTTGGCGGAGTGTGAAAGTGTTACTTAATGGCACTTGATATCAATATTCAGTTTATACTTTATGGTGTATAATTGATCTTATTGGATCATTCTATCAAAATTTGTACTTGCAATTCTTAAAATCGAAAAATCCATCAGAAAATTTTAGCTCTATTGGGAATCATAAAAATGTTTAGAAATACATGAGTATGTTAGAGAGCTAAGGTGGTTTTTATTCCATTCATAACTTTCAGCGGAAGCTCCTGCGGAATCTTTCATCCGAACTAGAGATTTTGTAAACTGTTGTAATTGTTCGACGTTGAGGGAATTTCAAGCAAGTAATTTGAAGAACGGTTTCAGTGAAGAAATGAAGTGTGCTGCATTAACACGATTCAAGATAAATCCTGTAAAGTATTTTCATATAAAAGAAAAATAAAATATAAGAACCGAAATATGTAATATTAGTTTGTTTGATATTTTCATAGGAAAAGTTGTCAATTTTCATGTCTCAGAGCACTTAATTAGAGCTCTAAAAAGTTTTCTGAATCTTTTTGCAAAGTTAAGCTTTTTAAAAAGACATAGTTAAGGAGTAACGCCTAACAAGCAATTTTTTGAATATACAGTATGACATTTCAGAAACAAGCACGTCGCGTATATGAAATATTGCGCTTGCTCCATACCAATATTTGGGATGTGAAGGCAATGGAACAGTATGAATCCTATGTAAAACGAAGACTTGAGAAGCCGTTTAAGGTTGGTTTTTATTTTTTCTCAAACTCGTGATTTTTTGTGTAGAAAGCAAAAACAGAATAAAATATGTTTGCACTAATGCTTAAAAGTGCTATTAATTGGTAAATTTTGGTTCTCGATTTTGTGTTAATGTAAATGATTCTTACGAGTTAAAATAAACAGACAAACCTTTTTTTTGAATTATGCAGTATAATGACTATCTCGTCAAAGCACTTCGTGCTAGTTTTTCGCTTCAAATCCATTCAAGTTCAGAATAATGATAAATTTTTTGTTATTTCATATCTGAAGCCTTTTGCAGCGAAGTATACGTGACTGGAAAAAACTGTTGACTGTTTTGGACAATTGTGATTATTCTGCAGTTGTAGCTAGTCATTTGAATGAGGAGCAAGAAGCGGCAAAGCTGGAACAACTTTATCAGGATGAGTTGGCAAATTATAAAATCGTCATAAACCGTCTGGTGAATTTTAATCAAGTATGATAACTCTACGTTTTCTTTCGAAAACTGCATGATTACTAGCAAAAATGATGGTATATTTTTGTTGAAGTAAACCTCGTTTCTGTTTACTGTACATTTGGTTGGATCCCTTCATTACTGTAACTTCAAAGTGCTGTGTATTTTTTGTGAAGGTTTTGACTTTTTATTTTCAAAGCTTTTGTATAGTCACCAAGTTTTAATTGTAATTTTGTTCTGAAATTGTAGTTATTGCTGCTGTAAGCATTCAGTTGTACAGGGTACGAAAATGCGTCTACTGCACCGTACCACTTTTTTATAACACTTTACTGGATTTTAAGTCGCATAACAATCATGAACTGTGTTTCATAAAATTGCATACTGCAGTCGTCGTTGCAAGGCTAGTGTGGTTTCAGGGCATGTGAAAACGTGAGATTCTGGATCCTAGGTAAGGGTTTTAGACTCCCGTAATTTTGGTGTTTTTAATTCTTTATTCCTGAACAATAACTATTATAGTTGTGAATTTCAACGGAAGTCATTATCGGGAAATAAAATTTGTCACGTTAAAGAAGACAATTTGTACACGTTCCCTTCATTTCTTAATTCGGGTGTAGTCTCATCCATTAAATTCATAGATCGCGGGACATTAACTTTTGCATTTCGAGCCGTCACACCGAGTTGCTCCATCTGTTCATTCATGTTAAAAGTGTGTTGGACGTTTCGATCTGTGATCACTCTGTATACTTGATACCTATATTGCGTTTAGTTTCAAGGATTTCGTATGATAATGTGTAATTTATATGAAGAGATTTCATCTTTTACATATGGTATATCGTTATAATTATGATTTGAAGACAGAGAGAAGATTTCACAAGGAATAAGATGCTTAAATTTATTACTGGAAGAATTAATAGGCCGTGATATTTAGTAATTGTTTATAAGTTAGTCGTCATGAACTTTTGCGCTGCAAATACCAAAAACGTTTAAAATTTTTATAAGAAAGTGGGCTCTAACGTCTTGGACTATAAAAGTTCTAGATGCGTTTTATCGGTTTTGATTTTAAGTTAAGGCATTAAGAGCATTGGAGATAGCGTGTTCTAATGTCTGACTTGTAGCTGGTTAATTCAATAATGTTGCAGGAAAACAATAATGGTCTTAATTGGAGCAGCAATCGTAACAAAAACAGGGAAACGTGAGTTTATTATAACAGCAGTACATACTTCTCATTTCTCTTTGTAAATATCAGTATTTTTATGTTCTAGTTTGAAAAACTGAAATAGGGTTTCAAATTATTTTTTCTCATTTTATTTTGTCATTCGTTCTGGTAATAAAATAATAAAAGTGTTATAGGATGTGTGAAACTGAACACAGCATTGTCTTTAAAATTTAATATCAGAAAAATTTTGTTGCAGCCCTTTTGGCGAGGGTTTTTATTTCGGATATGACAAAAGCTCGTTTGGAAGGATTACTGGATGCGTTCCCAAAATTGATTGCTTCTGACAAATGTAGATTTTTCATGTAGTCTCGAGAGAAACAAAAATTTAACATACTTTTTTTGTGTAAAGGCATATTTTTTCCAAATTGGAACCTATATTCCAGTTTATTATAGGAGACTGTGTGCGAAATTCATTCTTTAGTTCATTGTGTCAGTAATTTCATTTAAGCTCAGCGTCAGCATACATTCATTGAAACAGATAGCGTCCGTTACGTTTTTCATCCGTTAGACAGTGTGCATGTTGTTCTAATCACTACTAAAGCATCAAATATTTTGGAAGATCTAGAAACTTTGCGGTTATTTTCAAGAGTGGTTAGTTTAATAAGTCTTTGTTTAAGTGTTCTTTTTTTCAAGGATAAGTGGCATCTTATGTTTCTAGGCATAACTAACTAGGTAGGTGATGGGCAGAAAAAGTTATATATATATAATATATTTGTATTAACAATCTGGTAATTTATTGCAAAGACTGGTATCGATTTATATATGGGCTTATTTTCTTTGATATTTTCAAAAACTGATATCCTTATACCCTTAGACTTAGTTATCAACCATAATTCATTTTTAGATACCGGAGTACTGTCGCTCGAATGATGAAAAAGAAATTCAGGCAAATTTGTTTGAGCTTATATTTGCGTTTGATGAAATCGTTGCCTTAGGATATCGTGAAAATGTAAATCTCGCTCAAATACGTACATTTACTGATATGGATTCCCATGAAGAACGTTTGTTCAATCAAATAAAAACTGTATGACTTTATAAATAATAATTGGTTTAAAATATTTTCTTTGACCACTGCTTTATGTTTACTTCTATATATTTACATAACTTTTCATATAACTGAAATGCAAAGTGATTCTATACTTTTAGCCATTCAATGATAATTTCTAGGCGCAGGAACGAGCTGCTAATGAATTGATGACCCAGAAAGCTATAGAGTTAAAAAAGCTTAAAGCTGAGCAACGAAAAATGGGGCGTGGTATAGCATTTCTTCACTTATATAATGTCTTAGATATACTATTCAATCTCATCGTGAAATTGATTTAGGTATAAGTAGCAGTGCTACTGCTATTAGCTCGTCATCTGTACCACTGGTGGCCGTTATTGATGATGCAAATGCAAGATTAGCTTCCAAACCCAAAATACCTCCAAGTACACGCAGTAGTGGCAAAGCATTGAAACTTGGCTCGAAAAATGTCGATGGGGATCAATTTTTAAAACAGTTGAGGAAAGAAGGCAGGATTTATTCTGAATTTAAAACCCAATTAATTGACAAGTCAAAAATTGTAGGAAGTAGAGCAATTCTTAATGAGCAGCCACGAAATAAATAATTATTGATGCAGTAATATACATAAAGAGGTAGTGGAATCATTCTTTTCTTATTGGCAAGATATGCGCAAAACGTGTATTTTTGTCTTTATTAATTATTGTGTGGCTGTTTAAAGATGTTTCGCGAATGAAAAATAAAAGATTGGTAGTTAATGTCTGTCATGCTAAGAAACATGAAATGAAATTCCATATTTAAGGACAAGCTATTGAAGCATCTCCTCGTGCATCAGGTTTTGTCAATGATGGTAGTGAAACGAAAATTGGTTTGTCCGCTTTCGAGCGTTATCCTGTTCATGTGAAAATTGAGGAAAAGTTATCAGCATCTGTTTCAAGAGATGGTGGTTTGGAAAGTGGAGAGGTAGCTTTTACCGTTTAATATTGTTGAGAATATTTAGAGTTTACTTTTTCATGATTATTAAGTATGCGTTGTGAGCAAAGATTTCAGAAATTATATTTGTAAGTTGTCGACTAAAAAAGGAAGAAAGTGATTTTTATTTAGAATGTGTTAAAATACAGCTGATATCTGGCTGCTGAATATTGCATTGTACTAAACTCCGAGTTTATGATTATCATGCTATTATCAGATACTTGGAAGTGCTTTCTTATCTGTAAATGGCCCTCAGTTTTCTACAGTGTGTATTAAAATGGTCAACAACGACAAACATGGTTCACAGCAGCAGGTTACCATTAAAATATATTCAGTGATATAATTTTTTTGATTGTGATGTGTATTTGTTTTTTTATAGGTGCATCCAAATCTTGATAAGAATGAATGGCAGCAAAGGTCATTATTGAAACTGAAGTCGGTCCAGAAGCCATTCCCAGTAAATATGGATGTAGGCGTGCTAAAATGGAGACTGTTATTAAGCAATGAAGCAATGCTTCCGATTACAAGTTTGTTTAAATAATGCCAGACTATTTCCTAATTTCATATTGTTTCAAAAGTCCTTGAGTATTTGCTGAGTTTTTAAAATGTATTATATTTTATGCAGTATTGCGTAACGGCCAATGTTGTGGCTCGATAAAGTCTCTTATTCAAATACTTTTTGTTATGTCAATATCTCACTGCATGTTTCACTATAATTAATTATATATTTATGAAAGACTACTGTTATAGTCAACTGTTGGCCGAATGAAAATCCAGATGGTTGTGTTGTGAACATTGAATATACACTGCAAGCTGAGTACATGACTTTGAATAATGTTGTCATCGTAATCCCCTTACCGTATGTTTTGGAATTATTTCCCATCTCTGTTAGATTCCATGAATTTTCATGATGCTGTACACTTAATTTAAAAAGTTTTTGTAGGCCGGCTTCTGCTCCTCTAATATCAGAGTGCGAAGGCACATATGAATATGTCAAATCAAGATCACAGCTTCTTTGGAGTTTGCCTGTTATTGATAAGTCCAACAAAAGTGGTTCTCTAGAATTCAGTACTCCAAATGGCCAAGTTAACCATTTCTTTCCAGTCACTGTTCGCTTCTGTAGCACGGATTTATTCTGTGAAATGGGTGTAAGCTTTTACATTTTATTCTCTCCAGAATCTGTCTCTTGAAGTACTCATTTATGCTTTTTACAGTTTATTTTAATTCATTTTTGTACTGGCAAGAATGCTTGCTGTCAATTTTTACTGAAGTAGAATCCTTTATTTTCAATAAGATGAACAATTTGCACAATTGAGAGCCTAGATCATAATTTGTGAAAGATTTTATGGATTTCTTTTTAGGTTGGGTCAGTTCAGAAAATGGATTCAGACGAGGGAGTACAATTTTCTTCTGAGACTCGTCTAATGACAGAGAAGTTCGAAATTGTCTAAGACTTTATGCTTTTTAAAAATTAGGTGGCTTTGGGAGTAATAACTGTTCACAAACTATTGAATTTGTTAACCAGTTTCTTTCACAAGATTATTTCAGCTTTTGTTATATTAAAATTGAATCATATGTACGTTATAAACTAAATATATGCCGCCATGAATACTGACAAGAAATTTTTGTAGTGTCTTGAATTTAAGAATCAGTTTATTGTCTATGGTAGTATACATCCTTATCTTGTTCATTATTATCCATTTTTCGTGAAGGAATCTGAAGATATTTTGTACGTACTGAAATAAACATCTACTTTGATCCCCATTTTCAGTTTCCCTTTGTTTTCGTCAAGAAAATAGTTTTATACTTAGAAATGGTCTATTAGAAATTTTTCTAATCAGCTGTTCTTAGCAAATTTTATGGTTTGAGTTTTTTTTAACGATTGTGAGTTTCGTAAATGCATGCTGTTCTATTGAAACCAACTATCTTTACAAATAAAGCCGGGACTGCTATTCAAAGAAAATCAAAGAAGTATGTCAAGATCGTTCTTTACTGCTTAAATTATAGAAATATATGCTGAAGCTCCCATAGGTTCCAAAGTTCCAAAGTATATCTAACTAGAAACTACTGGAATAAGACGGATTGCAGCGCTAGTTTTTATTGCAGAGTAAGATATGTTGTGTTAATTTGCATACAGTTTTCCGAAAATAGACCTGGTGACTCATCTTGAAGGGTCAAAAGCGAATATATGGCTCGTTGGTCCTCGTGAAAAAAAAGCATTTTCAATCACCTCGAAATATGGTGTTGATGTGAGTTTCGGATTGTGTCCAATTTTTAGGCTTTTGACTTTAACTGCTAAAAGCAATTATACACATGGCACTGGAGTTAGTGCAAGGAAATAGTTTGTTAGTGGAATAATTTGATATATATAGATTAGCGGTTGAGTGCTGTTTTGTATTTATTTGTAGTGTATTTATCCACGCTTATTCATTTATTTCATGCAGTTTGGCGACTGGCTTTATATCACCGAAAAGGATTTCGAAAGTTCTAAAATTAGCAGGATTTGTTCGGTATCTACACCACTAATGACGTCATGGACATCTTTTTACATTTCAAGTACAGAAAAAGTGAGGATAAATATTTTCCACTTAATCTCTCTTGCCTTACGTGTTCTTTTTTGGTGAAAACGAAGCTTTTCTTAGGCTGTTATGGTAGAAGCTAGAATAGTGCTTGCACCAGGTGAATGGTACAAAGAGAATGAATACGAGTGGTTAGCTTGCAGTACTGAATTCGGACGTGTTGGTAATTTTGCATATACTAAACTATTGAAAAGGAGTAATTATCAAATAAAACCAAATGTTTTATAAAAAGCTTCCTTATGCAGGTAATTTTCTAGCTTTTTTCTCTTTTGTTTCACGAATTGACCACTGAAGTTGCATGACATTGAACCCTACTTTTTTACACATTTTTAGATTTCCCAATTTTTCTTCTTTTAACATTTACTTTTTATACTTTCGATGTTTCGTAAACTGTTCTGTTGTTGATGTTTCAAGTTTCTTTTAAAATGCTGATGCATATGATGCTTACCATAATGTTGAATTTTAATATTGAATTAAGTCTGAAATGTGGTACAATCTACTGTTCAATTCTTCTAGAATTCCTTTGAATAACTTTGGACGATATGTAACAGATATTTTTTGCGTAATATGGACCATCGTACCTCATATTCTTGTTCCATGCAGTGACCAGTCCGATGTTACCAAAGTAGTGCTTTTTTATGCTAATTCCAAATATTTGATTGAATGCACTCGTAACCTCAAAAATTTTTTCAGGATATCAGCATTAAAAGCCTAGCAATTATTTTATTTACAGCCATGGTCATTTTCATCGAGTGTTTCGAAAATAGAGAATGAATCAGCACACAGTAATGTCAGTTCTTTCTGTACCTAGGTACAGGTATGACATGCATGCTTCATTTAAAATTGCTCTTTACTAAATATTGTAAAAATTTTTCAAATGACATTTTGATTTTGTGTATGTCCTGTTGAATAATTTTTTATTTATTTTGAGATGGATGAAGGTGTCGTTTATCGCTCCTTTAAAGAACATAACTGGAATGATATGTCGAATGAGTTGGTTAATAAAGATTTTCATCCTGCTCTTTCGAACAAATATGTGCCTAGAGCAGGAAGTTAATAATCTTATAATTTTTGCAATGATGGATCTTTTGAAGTTGATTTAATATTATCTCCTTCGCGTATTTCGTGATCTGAATGCTTAGTGTTTAATTTCATTTGTAGATGTTTTACATTATTAAGTACTTCATTTGTTTTAGGTTCTCGTCCACATCAAAGGTACGAAAGACCTCTGATATTTTGAGTACTTTTATCTTTTACAGGACTGGTAAAAGGCGAATATGCAGAATTAATAATTCCAACTCATGCTCATGAGTCATCTGTGCCGGGTCTGGATATAAGAAATTGGTTTTTATCTGAATTGGGGTACAAATGTTAGAAAAATTTTGAGACTCCTGAAGAATATACAGAATAAATTGCTTAGTGAAAGCCAAATGTAGTTCATATTGGTACTCGTTCAGAAAGAAATATTTATATTTGCTTGAACAATGCTTCTCTCATTATAGAAAATAACTTTGCACTAAATCTTAGTTTTTTCTTTAATAATGCAGATTAATGTTGAAAAGGCTATTATGTGAGAATATGTTGAAGGATGAAAAAACTTTAGACTCTTCAAAAAGTATTGCTATAGAATAGTAGAGCATGCATGGAATGGCATTTGTTATCTTATTTGTTTTTTTATGTCTTTTAGAAAAATGGATGAGCTTGATTTTATAAGATCCATAAAGATTCATATTTCATTCATCTATAGTAAATAACTAGGAATATATTCAGCTCTTAACTATGTTGGTTCTGTTTCCTAAGCTCTCTATTTTAAATTTTTAGGATCTTTTGATGATTTTTTGCTCTAAAAGACAGAAATGTTCTGATGATATAGACTGTTGTCTGTATATTAATAAATCGTTTTTGATATTTAAGAGTTTGTATTTCTATGAGGAGTAGATTATTTAGACAGTAAAATTGAGCAATTTAAAACTTCATAGTTGATAAAGCATCAGTCTTTTCTTTAAAACATGAAGCAAATGACGAGTAGTGTTATGAAAAGGTAAGAAAAATATTACATATAAGTATACAAATAGAGGCTAAGTAATGCAAGTAAAAACGCCACGAACTGTATACCACTTTTAGAAATGAGAACTGTTTCATTGATGCGCTTTCGAAGCATTGCATTTTCGTCAATAAGAGTGCTAGTACGTCGGAGTTCAGCTTGCAACTTTTTTTGTACCTGAACCCATGTGGCTCATATTTCAAGGAATTAAATTGGATTTCATTTCATTTCGATACTGAATGGTAAAAGTTAGAGAGTCATGGTTGTTCAAAAGTAATTCAGTTTCTTCTAAGTAAGTATCACTCATATTTTTAATATTAGTTGAGCTTTCAGTTAACTGATATTAGTGTTTAATATGCTGCTTACATTTCAACTCATATTTTGAGAACTAATAACAAAATGAGTATAAGTTAACAATTAAAATTACGTATGACTTCTACGTGTAATTTGAAACTTTAGAAAACTGCAGATTTCTACATAATAGTACAAAATAATAATAGTACTTGTTCTGCATAAATTAATGCATTATCCCACTGATGCATTAGAAGTTCGTTTTGTTTAATAAGTTTAATTCGTTTTTCTCGTTCTTGTTCTAATTCTTCTAATAACTGGGCCTGTTGCTCTGTATTCAGTATCGGATCTTCTTTAACATCAAGACATTGGACTGTACTTATTGATGTTTTTTCCCAGGAATCCTCAAACTTCCATCTATGTCAGGCTACTTGATGACACTTCAAAGCATGTAAATTCAATAAATGTATTTGCAGTATATTTAAACCTGTGATTACAAAAATCAGATCTATATAGAATTCTATGGGACATGAAATCTGAAAGCAGAGCTACGAATACTTTTAAGGTTTACCTGATCAGATGGTGATTGTTCATAGTGGCACTTTTCAAGACGTTCAATAAGTTGACACCTGTCAAGTATAATAGCATCTCTACCTCTAATTTCTTCTTCCAGTTCAAATATAGCTCGATCACGTTCTCTGATTCGAAATTTAAGTTGTGCAATTTCCAATTCAAGCTCGCTTTCTTTTTTATTCGTTTCTTTGTCTTCAGATAACTATTTTTAGTTTAAATGGCCATTTTAACTTATAATCAATGGTTGTGCGTAGATTCTAAGTATTGTAAATGTTATAGATATGCAGCAATGTGCTGTTAAGGTACAAAGTGACCCCATCATTACCAGCTTTTTTACCAGGGAATAAAATTTCCGAAGTATTCCTTGTAGTACGAAACTAAATATATTTCTTAAGTTCAACTTATAAAAATCAATATGCAGTTGTTATGTTAACCCTTGAAGCGGCTGCTTAGCTATATTTCATGTTATAATAATTGGCGTGATCAGTTAAATCAAAAAACATTCACTGAATTGCAGTTATAAAAAATATTACAACGGACCTGACTGATAAGCAGCATTTTTTGTTTCTGAAGGATGCATATTTCAGAATAATGTTCCCTTGAGTAAGCAACAGCTAAAAAATTAACCAAATCAGATCTAATTTCTCTTGCATATTTTAAGAATGGTTTGTTAATGAAGAGTAATAACCTGTGTCCTTCTTCATGCTGTTCCTAACACTTGTTTTTACCTTTGCTATTTCTGATCTTAAAATATTTTAAACTGTGAAAGAGTAGAGTAATCTGAGGAGAGATAACGAAAGTTGTTCCATTGGTCAGTGTAATAAATAAATGTTCATTCTCATAACAAATAAGAAACATTAGCCGCTATTTATTGATGAGAATGTAAGAAAGATTAATACGAATCATGTAGACAAAAATTAATTTTCATTAAAACTTCATGTTCAGTAAATTTAAGATAGATGAAAATGTAAAAACAACTAACTCACAGTCCACTATCTTAGTTGAATCACAACGTATAATAAAGAACGAGCAAACGACACTACGCTCCAGGAATACAATCTTTTTTTAACAACTCAAAAGTTGCAAAAATCAGTGAATAAACTTGAAAACAAAGAAAGAGCCAATAAAGATAGGAAGTTGGATGATTGCACGGATGGATAGAGTTTAAGTTTATCACTGGTGTTATTTGTATAGCAGTGGCTGTTCGTTCTCTTTTCCACACTATCAACTTTGCGTTGTTATTGTAGTGCAGTAAATAATTAGAAAATGCTAAGCACATTATTTCGTCCTTAATAACAATTATTTGACCTCTAAAGCAAGAAGTTGAATTCCTATTAACATCATGAACTTCAATTAAAAATATTCATTAAAGAAGCTGCTATTTTATCTACATTTAAACAAGTCTCATGCAAACTGCAAACGAAACATAAGCATGATATTTACTTGACTTTTGATCAACAGGTAATGTGATCAGACCACAACTCTGTACAATGAATTTTTATTAATACAATATGTATATGTAGTTAAGGTCTTGTACTATAGTCTATGCCTGACCTTGGAAGAGCTTGGGATCTTGGACGCTAGTCTATGCCTGATTTTGGATGAAGCATGATTTCTAGTTTCTTTCGTCTGCTATTGCGAAGTCATGATGGGACGATGGAAGTGAATGGCGGAAATATGCGATCAGTTGCGACAACAAACGTCATGGTATCGAACGTTAACGACGCCAGAATGGTAGAAATGGGGTAATGAAAGAGAACATTCCAGTATTTAAATAGATCAATTA